ATCATTGAAGTGCATGCCACTTACCAGGTGGGTGATCCCAGGAGTCCCTGCTGGGCATGGGGATGTGAGACAGGGCAGGGAGGAGCCACACAGGGTCAGCCCTGGGTGTCTGGGCTCCACCCAGGGGAGTGCTGGGCTAGTGTAAAGCAAGTCCCAGAGATGTCTGACCTGGGGCACAGCTGGGGTATTTACCCTCCAACTCGCCTCTGTCCCTGTTGAGGGCAGTTCTTGGGTGTTAGCTCAGGCATTCCTACTCTGCTCTGGGTAACATCCGAGTCTGTGGCCAGAGAACCCCTGTCCAGGAAGGAAAGTGTGGAGGTGCTTCCACGGCCTGCTCTGCCCAGCTCCCCAGGCGGTCGGGCAGAAGGGAAGCTCTTGCAGCTCACTGCTGAGTTCCCAAGACTGTGTGATTCCTTACTCAAAGCCCACTCATCCAGGGCCTCTCTCGAGTCCCCTCTTCCCTGGACATCTTGGTGTCCCCAGGGTGGGAGCTGCCTCTCTGGACACACAGTGCAGCCTGTGAATCGATTCATCCTGCAACAACTCTGCTGACTCAGCAAAGCTGGGGCTCAAGCCCGCATGGCCTGCTGTGCCCCACCTCAGGTGGGGACCCTTCCACAAATGACTAAAACTAAACTAAAACAGCCTCTCCCAGTTAGGAGAGGAGGGAAAGTGGCAGCAGAGTTTGGGGTACTGCCGCAACAAGCCAAGCTGCACCCACTACTCAGGCACCACTGGTCTAGTCGCCTGACAGCGTTAGGGAGCTGGTGCCCCAATTTCACAGACTCAAAGGGTTAGATATTTGACTGCCTGGCTCTAAGTTCCCACTTTCTTTCTGCTCTACCTGTAAGAGACTGACATATATTTTCCTAGTTTAAGAATTAAATTTAGTGAGTAATGTACGTGTTCTGCCCAGAGCATTTGAAAGTAATGTGTTCCGGACAAGGCCCTTGGGACAAACAACGGTTTCTGGCTAGAGACATAACAATAGACCTGAGTTTCTGCATTGAGGCAAGAGCTGCCCAGCCCCACGATAAGTGAGGCCCGGAGGCCACACATTAAGCACATTGTTCTTTTGACTGCTGCTTAATCCCATAAGATGGCTGATTAGTCAATGATGGGTAAGACCCTTCAAGGGAGGGGCGACCTAAGCCATGCACGGCCACAGGGGATTGGCCTAAGAGGAACTGGGGACAAAAATGCCCTTGGTGGCGGCCTGGCAGCCTTGCCCAACCTTCTAATCTCAGTCTGTGATCTATGCCTGGCGCCTCAAGCAACTGCCTGGAAACCTTGAGTCAGGAGATATCTGTGTCCTTAGGCTATGTGTTCCGGAATTTATGACTATCGCTGCCACGCATGGGTGGGCACATACAAGGAACTAACTTTGATTTTGGGGGTATAAAAATAAAACGACTGGTGTGTCATGCACTGCAGTCTTGTACCCATCTTTGTGTGTGTCTGTGTGTCTTTTTGTGTTTTGTGTTCATCCTCTGTCCTACAAATGGGTCACGACACTACCCACCTGGATTGTTCAAACAGCGCAGAGAAAGACAGCGGAGCCTGAACACCAGGCCCACAGTAGAGGATGCAGGGGCTTGGGCGACTCAGAGAGGCTGGAGGGAGACAGGGGCCAGAGCAGTGGGAGGAATGAAGCCCAGACCCTGGCCCCAGCCCTCTGAGTCAAGAGCATTGGATGAATGGCACACAGGACAGGAAGCTAAGAAGCCCAACTGCCAATAGGTCATGAAGGTCACCTTCAGCCCCTGGGGTCAGAGGACATGCAGGTGGCATGTGCAGGTGGCCCGTGAGCTAAGCCTTGAGGGAAGAGGAGTTGTTTTTCTATTTAATAATTTATTGAAGTTCACATAACATAAAATAAACCATATAGTGGTCCATAAACTGAACAATTCAGTGGCATTTAGTAATTTCTTAATATTGTCTACCCTCTATCCAAAACATTTCAAACATTTCAATCATTTCCAAGTAAAACCTGTACCCATTAAGCTGTTTCTTCTCCCTGCCCGATCCCCTGGCAAACACCAGTCTGCATTCTCTCTATAGATTCACCTATTCTGGATGTTTCACATAAATGAAATCAT